AGCACTCTGAATGTATGACTTCATAGCTTTACCAGAACGGGGCACATGAGCACTTTGTCATCTATGGATGTTTACACATTGATAAGCAAAACTTAGTAGAATGAATTAAGAACTGCCTCTCCTTTTGCCATCATTTTCCAGACTCAAATACGTTTTTACTCCCTTGCCACTTGATCCTGATCAGTGCTTCCCCTTTCTCACGAGCTTCCCAGATGAAAAGCCAACACCTGTAAGCCAACACTTGCTTGTGCTCTTCTAGTGAAAAACTGCTCAGGCTCATTATTTAGCTCATTCTCTCCTTTTATTTTAAACAGAAGAAGATATTATGTCTTTCCCTGACTCAGTGCTTCTTTTTTAAACATTTAATTTGCAAGTAGCGGATTTTAACGTCTAGCAGTTCTACTGATAAAGAGCTACTTCATTTCAATATGTATTAGACGAAACTCATAATCCTTCATGAATCTCATCTAATGTTAAAGATCTGAAATTATTACTGTTAGGTAAATAAATATTTATCATCTCCTTATTGCAGATTTTTCCTCTGAGCTTCCCATCTTCTTCCTTGAATTTGCGTCTGGATGTATCTTTAGTTCTGCTTCCTTCCTAAAGAAATAAAGAACTATTTACATAGGAATTTTGCCACGTCAGGGCCCTTGATTATCATTTCCATTCCATGTTTCAGAGACATCCTATATCATCCTTTATCTCTCTTTTCCTTTTAGCCTACTAGGGGGAAAAAATCTCACTTCCCTTCTCCTCTTCTATTGTCTGCAGGATTTCACTTCACTTTTGTACTTATTTTATTTCATCAGCAATTCCTGTTGTCTTTGCCACTTTTTATAATTCTTTACAGATTTTTTTTTTCCAGGGCTAGACCCTTTTAGGGAAAAGAAAAGCTCCGGGAGACTACACTAGATTATTCTCCAATTTTTTTCGTGTGCCCTTAATTACACTGTGTTTTTTATTATTTCTTCAGTTCCCTTTTGACTGTGGTATTTTTAGTGCTTAAAAATGGCTTCTTATTCCTTGGGTTTTCTTTAAGGAACTTGAAACTATCCTGCTGCAGTTTTAGTGTCATCTAGCTGTATGTGTGAATTCTCAGGGGCCCATAATAGTCCTGTTTTACACATTTGTACACTGGGAGAATACATGCCAATTATGCCCATCGGTTTAGAAAAATTAGCCTGTTTCCTTTTTCCCTTCCTCTCTTCTGCGCTCTTACTGATGTAATTTTGCGCATAGGAGTTTTATACCTGTACTGTAGAAAAACTTGGGTACATGTTTTCACATCAATGTGTTGATCTTTTAATTCCTCCCCCAAGCCCATGTATATTGTAAAGTGAAATATGTGAAGTGTGCGCAGGACCAGCCTGCTGCCCTATTAGCTGGCAAAGCCAAGAAGCATAAATTTACACTTACAGACCATAAAACACACAAGGCCACTGAAACCACCCTTTGCTGTGGTTGGAGGGGGAAATTGGGATCCAGCTGACATATCTTGCAATGTTTGCATTTGCCAACATAAACCTGACTTGCAAACATACGGAGACTTTCACTGTAAATGGTTTCTCTTTGCTAAAAATGGTCCCTTTATTGAAAACAGTCTCTCTTTGCCTTTTCATTTTGGACTATTTATACTAGCCGACCATCCTTTTCCTTTTTGTAATACTTTACTTCAGCTGCAGATAAAAATGATAAGCAAATAATATTATTCCAGGAATAGTGGAATATTATTCCTTGTAATGAACTAGTTCCTTTTAAAATGTGCAGAGAGATTTTCAGTTTAGTAATCTATGAGCTTGTGCTTCAATGGTCAAATGCAGAAACTTTCTGCTTACACCTCTAAATTTGGAACAGAATCAAACTTATTTGAGAGATTAACCTGGCAAGAAATAAAGATAGAAACAAGACCATGTGAGAGATGATTGCTGTCCAGCCTCACAGTCCAACACAGGAAGCAAAATAGGAAGCCTGATTCACCAAAAAAGCAAGATGCTCCCGATCCCTTCAGTTGCCTATGTTGCTGTATGGACATTGCCTTCTCTTTCAGGACACTTTGGCAAGAACTGACATCTGGCTTAGAGAGGCATAAATTAACTCTAAATTGCCCCAAATGGAATTTCCTAATATCCCACAGAACATTTCTCTCTTTATCAAAATATTAAGTCCTGTGTGCCCTCAACTACTCTATGCTGGCAGCAAGTTAATGAACAAAAAGTGAATAATAAAGGAAATATGACCATCTCACAGCCTGAATTTCTCAAATCAGAGAAATAACCATCAGTTCTGTGGCCTGCAAAGAATCCTGCAGGTAGGAATGTATAGGTTAAAATAACTTGCATGTAATTCTGTTTTTTCTTTTTCCTACGGATTTCTTAGTAACCTGTACAGTTCTCTGCATTGGATTCTTCCTTTCAGAGTTGTGAAAGCAGTAAGTACAGTTGTTGAAATGTAACCTCTTCAAAAAATGTTGCTAGTCATTAATGACAATTTACGCATACAAATTTCACAGTGGTTGGATGCAGAATTTTGGTTCAGGGCTGGTTTTCCCGGTATAGACGTTTTAAGGTGTTTAGGGAAGGGATGTTGTCTTCTGAAAAAAATCAGCACCTGTGTAACAAATAATAAGTATATCTAGATATAGGAAATACAAGAATAGTTGTTTGCAGTCCCACCAAGATGAAGTATTATACCAAGCATGTTTCAAAACGCTGTTTCTCATTTGACAAAAGGGAATGTCAGAGACTCCGCTGCTTCTGAACTACTGTCCTCCGAGTTCAAAGAGGAACTGCTAAGCCCTGGACCTGCGCCTGAGGTTTTTTTTTCCTGGTAACATCAAAGGTTGTGATCATTAATCCTGGTTAAACAAGAAGGCAGCATGTCCCACAGAATCAAAGGCTGAACTGCGATTCAGGAGAGAGGTGCCCCGCTCCTGCTTCTGCTGGTGAGGTGCCGTGTCACTTACGAAGGTCGCGTTGGCTGGGCTGCTTCTACTGTTTGCCCATCCATTTGATACTAGCTTGAGGGCCATAACTATGCTTCCCCACAGATTTTTCAGTATGCTGAGCCAACGTAGCAAACACTACAAGCGATGCATTTTTACAGAATAAAGAGTGTATTTATGTGTATTATTGTTATATATTTAACATCTTTTCATAGTGAAGTCAACTACTGGGAGCTTCTACACAAACTTAAACTTTAGATGTCTGGTAATAATAAAGTTTCTGAAGATCGATATAAGGGCAGTTTAAGAGAGAGATGGAGCGCAGATGGCTGGCATAAACCATGTGCTCCCCACAAAGAGTGCACTTAATTAAAGAGGAAAGAACTGTAAAGTGGCAGTGGATGCCTTGGGACAAGTGTATCAGGTAATGTAATGATACAACAGTGATTTTTTCTAGATGACTGCACAGTAGATCAGTATGTGGCAAAGGGTAGTGCATAGGGCACCGTCAGTATACTATACATCGAAACAAAAATGAGCTGACAGAGCACAACACTTTCAAGAGTGCCTACATCATTAGAGACCAAATCCCACTGACCTTGAGCAAGGCTTAGATCATGCCACTATCTCCACCTGATTGTCTCAATCCTTTTACTTGAAGCTGGGTCCGTAAATGAATGAGTTGGTTTGTGCAGAGGTTGGTCAGGTCAATACCCGCGATTGTGGTTGGAGTTAAATACGAGGGCTCTGTCCCATGCTCCGTTTCATTGTGGAGACCTACCCTTGAGCTCCTGTGTTACTTACACGCTTCACCATTAAAGAAGTTGTAGGAATCTTCAGTGGAATCTAATCTGCTGATTAGATCATGCTATACCTTACGGATACTATGGAAGAAAGAGGATATTTGCACAGAAAACAACTCGGCAGACATATGGGAATAAAGAAATGCCAACTATTCTGCAAGGCTTTACCTGCTATGCCTAGTTTTGCAGAGAGATATGGGAAGAATGTAAAGGTTAAAAGGAAGGGCAAAAATTATATGCAGCTTAGTTCTTAAGTTCAGTTATGAATGGAAGCCATGAAAAGTATGGGAAGCCATGAAAAGTATTTATTGCAAAACAGGAACTTGCAGGTCTGGTAATGTTGCCCCTCATAAGTGTGAAATTTTAGAACAGATGTCCCACAGGAAAACTACTTCAGGAAAGGACTTAATAGAGGGCATGAATGAAGTACTGTGTTTCAAGGAGCAAGGGAATGAACCCAGCCTCCTAGGACTGTTTTTTCAAAATGTGAGACTCTGTTTGAAGAGGAAAATGAATTTCCAGTCAGATGAACCAGAAGCAGTGACGATTTAGGGGAATGTTTGTTTTTTCCCCATGTGGTTGAGCAATGATTCAAAGGGACTGACATTAATAGAAACAACCAGTGTGTGTTTAAGAAGTGATTAGGGGATAAAACTTAACAACCAATAAAGCCAGTTTGGTATGGGAGTCGGGTATGCATATACAACATGGTATGTCACGTGACTAAAATTCATGTTAAAAAATCAGAGTTTTCTGCGTATACTGATGTCAGGTGCTCACTGTATGAGGAAAAATGTCTATTTGCTTTTTTTGCCTCAGTAAGCTGCACCACAGTTGTCGTTTGTTTGGGCAGTTTCAGCCATCAACAGTGAAGACAGTAACTAGTGATCCTGCAGAAGGAAACTTCTGTTTCTGTTCTGATCCTGAAAAAAACCCAATCCAGTACATTCTACTTCTTTTGTCCTATTTTCTTTTCACCTTGCACACAGCTCATGAACCAGTACTCTCTTGTTTCATTAATGAAGCTCCAGCTCAGTCCTTCTTGTCCTTCCATCTCACTTCTCCACCGATGAAAATTTCTGCTCCTGTGTCAGCCCCGGACAGGAATCACAGGTACTACTGCTGAGCTGGGGAACACTGAAGCACGATTTGGTCCACACCTAGATCAAACCTTGTGGATCAACAGCACAGGATCAGGATGTTATCCTCTTGGGATACCGGAATGCAGGGAGGCCCGGTCACTCTCTTCGAGGATGAAGACACCCGAGGCCAAGGATGGTAAGCAAAGGGCACTTCCACTTACCATTATAGCGACTATATTTGACTGCCTCTGTTACTCTTCCTGGTTGCTGTCAGGGATTGCAGGCTGTCAGTGCTGGATTCCCAGTCCCCTTGCTATCACTGATCCCAGTGTTTGGGCCACTGCCTAGGGGAGATCTCTGTTACAGAGGTCCCTTCTGTCCTTTTTCCCCTTGACGGAATGGATGTTCTCTAGGTCCATACATGACTGTTGGCAAGGGGGAAGGAAGAGTCCTTCATATCCTTGAACTGAGGCATCCTTGTGTTGGGGAAAGACTTTCCTCAAACCCTACATCCTGTATATTCTGCAGGAGGAGTTGAAGCCACAGTCCTGGATGTGGTCTAAATGAAGTGCCTTCAGAACAGAAGGGACAGAGCTGGGCTCCCTTGCTTATTCAGTGGCTGCCTTATCCTCACTGAAGGCCTCCATCCCTCCATAGGAGGGGCACCATGCTGTGGGGCGAGGAGGAACCACAGAATCACAGAATGTCTGAGATTGGAAGGGACTTCTAGAGATGACCTTGTCCAAATCCCCTGTTCAAGCAGGACCACCCAGAGCAAATTCTCCAGGACCATGTTCAGATGAGTATCTCCAGGGATGGAGAGACTCCACAATCTCCCTGGTCACCCTGTGCCAAGGCTTGGTCACCCTTACAGCAAAAATTGTTTCCTGATGTTCAGAGGGAACCTCCCGTGTTTCAGCGTGTGCCCATTGCTTCTGATCCTCTCACTGGGCACCACAGAAAAGAGCCTGGCTCCATCCTCTTTGCACCCTCCCCTCAGGTATTTGTATACATCGATGAGATCCCCCTGAGCCTGCTCTTCTCCAGTCCCAGCTCTCTCAGCCTTTCCTCGCAGGGGTGATGCTCCAGTCACTTAATCATCCTTGTGACCCTTCACTGGACTCTCTCCAGTATGTCCACGTCTCTCTTGTACTGGGGAGCCCATACCTGGGCCGAGCACCGCCGGTGTGGCCTCACCAGTGCTGAGCAGAGGGGCAGGATCGCCTCCCTCCACCCGCTGGCAGTGCTTTGCCCAATGCAGCCCAAGCTATCATTCACCTTCTTGGCAGCACGGGCACGCGGCTGGCTCATGTCCAACCTGGTGCCCACCAGGTCCCTTCCTGCCAAGCTGCTTTCCAGCTGGTGGCCCCCAGCCCCTACCAGCGCCTGCCTTGTTCCTCCCCAGGGGCCGGGCTCTGCCCTTCCCCTTGTTGGGAGCTGCTCTCCCCGGGTGTCCCCGGGTGGGCAGACCGGCTGTGCCCCGCTCCGGGGGCAGCGGGAGCCGCGGGGACCCCCACCCACCCACCCACCTACCCACCCCGGCGAGAGAA